ACTTATCACAATTCTGGGGGGTTTGGTTTTTTGTTTTTTGGATTGGCAAAAAGATTAGCAGAAAAAGTTTTTGTTTATAATATCAAATTAAATATTGTTGTAATATAATCTTTATTTTTAAATATTATTAAAAAAATAAATTATAAATATATTTTTATTAATTTTTTGCTTGAAAATACTTATAAATTAAGTAAAAAAAAATAAACTTTTATATATTTAAATAAGATTTTATATTTAATATTTGTTTGTAAAATAAATAAATAAAAATTTTCAATTAAATTAAGAATATTATTTTAATAAAAGTAATACTAATAAATAATTATTATAACAAATAAAAGTTTAATAATAATATAAAAATAATAATTAATAATAAAAGTTAAGAATTTTTTGATTTTTTGTAATAAAAAAAATTTTTTTTTCTAATATGGAATTAATAATAATAATAATAATTAATATTTAACAAAATACTGTAGTATATTAATTTATATAGTAAAGGTAATATATAAATGGTTAAAAATATTTGATCCATTAATTTTTTATATTTAAATCTAATAAAAAATATTTAAAAGTTATTTGAAATCAAATTTAAAGAGGTAAAGATTTTTTTAAATAAACTAAAAGATTTTAATAAATATTATATTAGAGATAAATGAAAAAATAACAGAATATTAATATAACGTACGTAGCAATAAATTTTTATTAATTATAACTGATTAAAATTTTTTAAAGCTGGTGTTTCACCTTTCAAATCATGGTAAGGTAAAAAATTTAATTTTTGCTAATCGAACGCCGTAAAAATACATAATTACTGATGGTAATGTTTATTCCAAACAAAAGAGACAATGTAATTGTGGCAAAAATTGTCTGTAGGGCATATCTCGAAATTATACGATGTTGGTTCATCCTTACAAAAAATGATAACCGCTGCAGTGGATTCTGCTTGACATGTTACATTTTGGATTTCGTGTAGTCACCTGGATATTATCTGAATTGTAACCAAATTGGTGTAATATTTTATAGTCTCACAACATTTTCGTTACGTTTCTGATTCTAAAACATGTAACCTGCAAAGACTAATTGCGTAAACATTTGATGCATTTAATAATCAAAAAAAAAAAAAAAAAAAAAAACTTTACAAAAACTGTGGAGGCTCCAATCAATTTGATCCTTTGTTATATACTCGAATAATAGGGAAATTTAACGATTTTGTCGATCCCATCTTTTTGAGCGGCTTGAGCACCATTGCTTGGTGCTAGTCCTCAAAGAGTCACCACGCTCTCGATGAAAGTATGTACGTACGTACCTACGCAGATATAGGAAAAGGTAGCGATGGTGCCGTTTAAAAAAGATAAATTTGGACGTCAATTACTAAAAAAAAAACAAAAAACCAAACACCCCAGAATTGTGATAAGTCAATAAATATATGATTACAGTAATTTCGATTCTGGTCGAAATTTATCCCATTTCCTGTTGTGCTAAAAATATGTTACGACTGTTAAAATGGCGCCATCAAAAACGCAGCAACTATGAAGGGCGTTTCATATTTAATACTTGATCTACCATCTGATTCGCTGATTCGCTGATTCGCTGTCGCTGTTTTTGAAATTGGAAAGCCGTGTAATAATCTCCTTACATCTTCCGACAGCTGCCAATCAAACTGACTCCCCTGCGTGTGGCTTGTTCCGGCCCTCCTTTTTTTCTACTTCGCTCTGTTAGTAACCCGATCGCTTTTAATGTTTTTATTTATGCGACTAGTATCTTGAACTCACTCTTTAGATTGGGACACAGCCCCTGTCTCCTTTTGAATTGACACGTCTTCATTTGAAGTTGGCCTTATATAAGCATAAGTCGCTTAACAAAATTTAAAAAGCTACCTCGGAAACAAACTTTGGTAACAAAATGAACTATAACGAACATAACAACTTACCCGAAGCGATAAGAGCGACAACGCAAGAACGACCACAACAACAAACACATCCAGCTCCACAAATGTTTGACGCCTTTCATCAGTCGCCTCACGGTGAATTCAAACCTACTTTTTATAACCCGTTTGAGGTGAAGCATAGACGTCGTACTTCTCGTCAACAGTTGAAGGTCCTTGAAAAGGCTTTTAACGAAAATCCAAAGCCCCATGCTGCTGTTCGTCAAGCGTTGGCTCAAAAATTAAACATGACACCTCGTGGAGTACAAGTTTGGTTTCAAAACCGACGTGCAAAAGCAAAAAAACAGAAAACCACCGACGATAATCCTTCCCCCGAGAGCAACTCCGAAGGGTTGGCAGTATCTAGTCCAAGTGACTCTTTGGAAACATTCTTTTCCGCGGCAGACTCGACGGTAAATGCGTCCGCCGAAAATGTTGGGCCGGAAGGTATTGAAAGCGATTCATCAATAGATGATAACGGTGATCAAGCATTGACTGATAGTAATGTCAATAGTCCTTATTGCGAGACATTTTTTGTGGACCAGCCAAAACCTGTTAGCGAGAATCTCGCACATGAGACAGAAAATGAACAATTGCCGAAGAGATCTCGTCAAAAACCAAACATTGATCCTCTCAAAACTAGTTGGGATACACCTGAAGAATACGAGCACATGGTCCAACGTAGACAAATTCATGACGGCGAGTGGAACCTTTCTTCGGCATCAACTGTAGCATCGTCTGATTACGTTTATGATCACATGGACAATATTATTCCTCTATCCACCCCACAGTCTGCCGTCACAATCTCAGATTACTTCCCTGAATACGCGTATAGCCCAACTGTTAGCTCTGTGATCAGTGACAAGGATACAATTGATAACAACGAACCTATGAATCCAGCGTATGCCAATACCCGCCGTAATTCATGTCCTGAGTTGATGGCATCAATTCTCAACATGAAACTTGGTACGCCTGAGGAGAAACGATCTCTTTCTACCATCATCGAAGATGAAACATTGTATAACGACTCCAACATGTCTCAATTTTTGGCTGTCCCAACGCAGGTAAAGCGTCTTTGAACGAAAGTATTATTTATCATTCAATTTTTAAAGAAAAAAATGTTGAAATGAAAATTTTCCATCTGGTACCTAATTAGGTCAAGCGACGATTTTCCGAACCAATCAACAGGTATAACACACCTGGTGTTCCGGGATTTCATTCTGAACATGGTCAGGAATTGGGAACAACGATGACGTCCAATCAAACCGCCTTTACGTTCATGTTAAATACTAGCCAGCCGCATGATTCTAATTCTCACACTGCGCCAGAATTACTTCGAGGTCACAGTTTGGATTCGACCGTTTGGCCCACTTTGAAGGGACGACAAGTTTGGAACTTTGATTTGGATTTCAAGCCAGCCAAATTACCTGTCGTTGATACCACCGAATTGAAGGTGACGGGTTCTGGTACTATTGGTGTAACTCACTGGACACCTAATTCCGATGCAAACTCCGTCAATCCGAGTATGACCATGGCAATGGCTGACGAAATTGGTTTCGTACATTTATATAATAACTCAAATGATCAGGTTGTCTGATATCAACTTATTTACTTTACACATATGAAAAAAAAAAAAATTTGAAAAAAGAAAAAAATTTTGAAAAAAAAAAAAAAATTTTTGAAGTGAAAAAAAAAAAAATCGCGAAGATATGTAAATATTTGAGAAGAAGGTAAAATGAGGCGATCCAAGCAACGAGAGAATCAATTGATGATACATGTGTATATACTCTTGGTCTCCTCTTGCTATTTCTTCACATATTGCCTTTCACCCGTATGATTTCATCCGTGCTTTTCAACATATATATATTAATTTTTTTTGAAGAGTACTTATATTATTTCTTTCGTAAATATTATGTTACGAAAAAGCTTCCAAATATATATATATATACATTTCATTGTAATTATACGTATCCTATGTATATATATATATATTTATTTATGTGTAAGGGTATGATTTCATATACTTTTTTTTTATTTGTAAATCTCTCCAAATCCTTTTTTTTTGGCGGGTAAATCCTTTCAAAAAATATTTGTACATAGCCAGCGCATAAGCGTTACCCTTTTATTGTAAGATTTAATTTCACGTGCGAAAATCGGAGGAACGAAGTTTTCGCAAGTGATAGAATTATGGACATAGGAATATAGTTATATACATTATGGAAAAAAAATCTGTTTTTCACCAGTAAGGGAAATGTTTCTGGATACGCATAATCGAACGTCCGTGCGACACCGTGAAGAATACGGGAGATATGTCAACACGAACGGTATCCAAACAAACATTTTCCCTTTCTTTTTAGTAAATATTTCTTATTTTAATCTAAATCTTTTTCATCGTACATATCTTTGGTAGATAAATAACTTTTTTGTACTTTTGCCTTTTTTATCTGTTTATAACAAGAATATCTATTAAATCTTTTATTTTACTTAAACCCAAACGCTACCGAAACTACCCAATTTTTCTTTATTATTTTATCACTCCTTTTTTTTTTTGATATATGTTATCTTTGTTTTTTTTTTTTTTGTGTATTTTTTTTCTTTTCTTTTGTAAATATAAACACAGTAAATGTATGTGACTACGTGGTTTGAAAATTGATGGAAGTTTGCTTCTCTTAGAAAATACTGTAAATCGCGTCAAATTTTCGTTGTATAGAGTCGCGTCAATATTAGGAGTCATGTGATCAAAATCTAGTTACGGTGAATTTTCAATTAAACAAATAGATGATTGTATTGAACTTTATCATTTCCAACATTTCTCTACGCTAACCAAAAAATCAAAGTGCCGTTATTTCGTTATTTAATAACATGAACATAATGATACACAGCCACCGGAAGACTGCGCCTGATTATCTTCTCGGTGGTAAACATTGCACGCACCCCTTTCCCCGGAAATAAGCAACGCGCGACGAATAAACAATGTTAATGCAAAAATGTCATCGTCGTTTACTCCGAGTACAATCTCTGGATTAAAAGCATTACAAATCTATTATATGATGAGTCCTTTTTTACTATATTGCTTCGAACTTATAGTCATAGTTTATATCACCTTTTACAAGTGAAAGATTATATCACTTTTTTTATGGTTCTGCACAAATAAAACAAGAAGATTCATGCTTGAACATATAAGGAACGATGGCTGAAAATCTAAAAATAGGTTATTTGACAACTGGAAAAGGTTTTCTGAGATGTCGTAATCCATGCGAATCATTCGTCGTATGATACAGTGTTTTCCACATTTCTTTAAATAAACATACCTGATGTTGTGATCTACTAATACCTGTGGAATAAATATGACCTTCACTGGGAATTTATCGATCAAAAACTACGTAATACCGGATAAATATTTATAATTGTTCAATGGCCTATCAAGAACTGACGTGCATCAAAAAAATATATTAAAAATAAATGATTTAATATAGAATTGTTATATTTAAATAAATACTGTAAATATTAAAAAATTAATTATGTTTTTAAATAAAGTTATAAAATAAAACTTATTGAAATAGAAAGATTATTATTATAACAAATTTATACTAATATAAAAAACTTTATAATATATATATATATATTTATTCATTTATTTATTTATAATTAAACAATTAAAACTAATAATATAATAATATAATATTTATTATTGATTTTGATAATTTCTAAATAGAATCTTAAATGCCTCACTTAACATTATAAAAAAAAATAATAATAAATAGAATTTTAAAGATAAATAAAATTGCTTTTTTATTTTTTTTTATTTTTTGAAAAAATTTAAATTCATTACTTGCAATTTATTATTAAAGTTTATCTTAATAAGATTTTAATTATTTTATATTTTTAATTATTTAATATTTTTTTGTTTTATAGAACTTTTATAAAAGTATTTATAATAATATTACTTGTTAAATTTGAATTTTTAAATAATATATATTTTTTATTTTTTTATTTATATATTGCTAAAGTTAATTATTATTATTATTATTTTATTTTTTTTTTTCTGCTGCAAACAAGCATTAAATGTGAGACATTTATTAAACATAAGTTTATTGTCATTACATTAAGAATCCTATACCATCTCATTTGGTAGGAGTTAATCCTAGCCTATCGCATGAAAAAATCTTTAATTCGTGAGAACACCAAGTAGGTGGTTACAAACTATCGGTAGTTCATGAATGGCTAATGCCTATTCATAAACAGCTAAGTTAAGGCGGGTGAGAATATTTTTTTTAGTAGTATGGAAGATTTTCGGGAATTTGGTCTTGATTTGATAAGTTTTTGTTGGGTCTTTGTGTGATGTTGTTGTTGTTGTCGTTCCTAACATGTTAATACCAGTTTGCTTCTAAAGTCTGCAGGTTTCCATTAGCTATAGTCTGGTCCTCTTCCTTTGTTTTCTGGGTGGAATTTTCTTTAAAATCTTCGGGTTTTGGTGAACTCATGCTGGTTAAGGTTTGTAGTCCGTGGAGCTTTTTACTACCATCGAAAGCACCCACTTTGTTATGTATTTATTCCCAAGTGTTTAGGAGCGAAATGGTATCAAATTTTGCAAAGACAACCGTTGGAAGAATAAATATTGAACCATCATTTTTTTTTTATGCCAAAAAAGATAATTTTATATTGCATTATAAGTTACGCAGCAGGAATGTAATACATATTTATTGGAGGTTGTACGAAACTATAAACATGTCTTCATAATATAAATTGCAGCAATGTATAACAAATCTTTCGATGATCTATTCAAAGATAATAAGACATTTGATTTTTTAAAATCACTTCATTCTTAAAAGAAAAAAAATCGAGAATACGATATTTTTTCGGACGATTGGATTCGGTCTCGTCCGATTTCATTCATGATTCGATTTCACCCGATTTCTCATGATTCGATGTATTCGATTTCGAAGTCTAATTCAAATTTATTAGATGGTTCGTAATTCATTTATGTATTTGATATCGATGTTTTGCAAATACTATATATGCGAGCACATGCAAATTACAGTTCTATCAAATATAATAAATAATTAATATAACTAATTCTGATTTTTACTTATCAGATGTCAAAAATTATTTTATATAATTAATATGCGCCATATTACTGTATAAACAATACTATTGAATTAAGCTTTTGGGAAAAAGAAATTATTAAAAAAATTTTAATAAATTTTTTTTTAATGAATAAATTAACTAATGTTTGAAATAAAATATTTTTACATGATTTGAAATTTAATAAAATCACATATACTGTACACAAGATAAAGATAAGTACTGTATTATGATGCATATGGATATTACGTTACACTTTGTCATCAGAAATTAAAACATGTTAGTTTAACATTATATATAATTTTAGTTAGAATTACAAATTTTAATTCAAGTGGATTATAATGGATATACTGTATAATTCTGATCATATAAAATTCCATATACTGTAGTAGGAGTAATAATTTTTGAAAATTTGTAATTTAAGATTATTTTTAATAAATATTAAATATTATTCTTTATATTGACTTATATAAAATATTCAAATTATAATTAATATTGGTTTATTGGATTTAAATTAATATATAAAAATAAACAACTATTAGTTACTAGTTATATTATTAATTGTATACTATATATATTGTATATACTGTACTTTAAAAATTAAAAATAATAAAAAAAAAAAAACTCTCACCCATTCACCACTGATTTCTTGAAAATTTCCTTATATGGTAATTTTCTTGAAAGAAGCGCTTTCCTCTCTCTCTTCAATAT